TTTGAAGATGCTTGTATTACTGCTTCCTGATTATAAGTCAGACTAAAGCAGCTAGTTGGCTTGTAGAGGGCAAAGCCCCTTATATTATAGTATACTAGATCATATTATAATAATATAAGTTTTTTATAGGGTGTTCTCAACTCTTGTGGAGTGCTTTCTCCCCCCACCAGATTGGCACAAATTCTGCTTAAGAAATAAATCTCTAGTATAGGAAAATTATTTGATTGGGAATGTTTCTAGTATAGTGTTTGATAACACCACAAAACTTATTCCAGTGTACTGTTAGAATCTAGTATTTTAAAAATTACCTCAAAATTATATAAAGATACTCTTTTTGCTCAGAGTTTCAGAGAAACCATGATGCTTAAGTGTTAACAACATAAAATCTTTAATGGTAGACGGACATGTGCTTTGTGTGCCCCCTTTGAGAGGGGAAGATTTAACTCTTACTAAAACTTAGACCAAACAGGTCTGGTCAAAACCCTCCATGGCACCCAAAAGTTTTCATTTAAATTTACTTGTATCTAAATTCTCAATTTTCCTCAAAGCCCCTGTATTAGAGAAAGTGCATAAATCAGTGTTTATGAAGGCTCAGCATGGATTGTGCCCTTCAACACAGATACTTCAGCTCAAGTAGATAGCTCTGGATGTTTCTTATCCCAGTTTTGTCTGCTTTTGATAAAAAAGCCACACTTTGCGTACTTCCAGAAGTACATAGAAGTATGTACTTAAAAATATGTCAAAGGCTATAAGAAAAAATAAATTTTTTTCACTGGTAGATCTACCAGACCAGAGACTATTTTCCTCAGCTTTTGAGAATGAAAGTTGCTATTACTTCATTGTTTATTGTATTTTTAAAATGGTAGTAATACCGGAAAAGGGACATGATCCTTAGGCAAGTGACAGCTTTTGTTATGTTAAAATTCTTGAATTTTTACCAGTGTTAGGGATGGCTGACAGCAGCCAGACTGCTAGACAGGGATGCTGGTTACAAGTGCCCTAAGAAAAAAACACTTATACAGTGAATGTCATGTCCTCTGAAGCGTATTGGGAAGGAGAATACATGCTGTAAATCCATGCTGTATTACTACATGTAGTAAAAAAGAAGTGAAAACATTTTTGGGCTTTGAAATAACAGAATTAGCCAAGCCTTTTTAATTTAACTCTCTGCACTGTATTTGCTATGCAGAGTAAAAGCTGCTAAAGTCAAAGGAACAGCCTGCTCATTAAACAGTCTCTAATTAAAATTAATTCCACTAACAAATTGATTATATGGCATGCTAGATAGGAACTGGTAACTCTTCCCAGCTCCTTGACATGAATCCTGACTGGTAGGTATCAGGCATCAGATTCCTTTTGGCTCTTGCAGGGGAGAACCAAAAGGGAGAGCTTTTCTTATCCCAGTTTAATTGGTGTCAAATTCCATTAATAGGTGTTCCATTACATGTAACTTGGGAATTGGCTTGAGATAAAGACTATAAATAAGTTTGGACTTAAGTTTGTTATATACTTTCAGCATAAATTGAGATTGTTGAAGAACATACTGATAAATCAAAAGATACTAAATCAAATGGTTCTTCTTCCTCTCAATTTTAAAACCATTCCAAACAAGTGATTGAGTTGTTTTGGTTTTTTTTTTGTGCCTCTCTAAAATAGGCAGACAGACAAGTAAAATCCTTGCTTAGTCTATTTTGGTTTAAATTGTAAATTCATAACAGCAATCTGTGGAATTAATGCAAAATGCTCTTTCCAAGTGTTTTTAGTAAGGACTATCTCACAAGGAAATGAGTTATATTTGAAAGGAAGTATACCTAGTCTCTGTGCCACTTGTCCTGTGTTTGTTTCAATAACAAATAGAGAACTTCTGCTTTTCAGCAGTCTGATGTTATGGGCTTAATATTGTTCTCTTACCCTTAAAAAAATGTTTACTCAGTCAGAATCATGCATCCTTAATTCTTAGGAGCTTGTCAGGTAATTTCTGTTAAAATTTGATACAAGGTCACATGATCAGTAGCTTACAAGATGTGGTTGTTTTTTGTGCTTTATTTAGCAGGGTGAAAAAAATACTGGATGTTGTCACTGTCTGGTCCTCAATAAGCAGTGACTAAAGTCATTCCCAAGTTTCAGTATGAATTTAGGAAAATATTAATTATGGCACATTTACAGATAGGGGCCCAGTATTGTGTTATTTTGATTTAGCAATATTCAGCCTCTATGAGGAATACTGCTAGGACTGATAATATCATCTTATTAATTTCAGTGCAGTGTTTCAGTCCTGTAGTAATTTGTCTTGGACTGCTTACAAGTATGGCTTGATTTAGAAGTTAGTTTTCTTAAATGCCTCTTACTAATGATAGGTCCTGCCTTATTTATAGTATTTGTCCCTTGCAGGATGAAAAAGTTGAATTTAACAACCAAGTAGTTTAAAAAAAAGGTGCACATATTTATTATGTGTTCTACTTTTTAAAAAGCAACTGGATGGCAGATAATGCATTAAAAATCTGTCCTGATAAAGTTTACCTTTCTAAATTTAAATATTTGTTATGAAGAAAATACTCCTGAAGAATGGCTAGATACATTTGAAAATTAGGCTTATGGTTTAAATATGGCTGCAGGCTTGTAAACAAAGCTACCCATTAATTGATACACAGTGTGAAAGTTA